CGCGTTAACAAGATTTGGACAGGTCATAGCTAATACAATGCGAAACATTGCCTTAATGTTAAAATGTATAAAACTTTCGTCTACTTCGAGCTAATTTCGTAAAATTTCGTACCCGCGAGTTTTTAAGGCTCAGAAATTAGAATTTGTACGTTGTATCTTCTAGAGGGCGCCACAAGGGACAATAGGACGCATTTAAACTGCCAATACTTTTTTGTCCCACTGTGTATTCCACTTTGGATTGGAAAAATCTTTTCCCAAACTTTTCTGCTTAGAAAAGGTATAATTACATACATACTTTACTGATATCTCTAAAGCCAACCGTTTTTAACAAAAAGGCATATAAATTTTGTAAATGCATAAAAAAATTTGTTTAAAAGTTATTCCACTGATAAACGAAATTAGAAGCAATCGTTTACTAGCAAGAAATATGCCTTTAAAGGAAATTTACATTTACAATTTTAAATTTCGTTTATTTAACTATTTTACTGGAATTGACAGTAAAAAACATAGTTTCTAAAAACAATCTAACACAATCAAAAAATCTAAAAAATAACTAGGCAATTATTATTGACCTGTCTCTGCTCACTGATGACACGACAAAAGCCAACCAAAAATCAAATCACCTCTGCAATTGCTTTGGAAACAATGTAATTAAATGACCATATAATAATTGTCTTAAATGTCTCTTGTAATATTTGAAAATTTTAAAATCGGTTTTTTAGAGTCACCCTGTATATCACATATCAAAAAAAAAAGATAGCAATGACAAGTAATAATAATTTTCAGATAAGAAAAAATACAGTTTTTTAAAAAAAAAAAATACGGTCATGTTTGGCATATTACTGTGAAAATCAAAGTTAATCTGCAAAGTTTTCTCTAACCCAGAAACCAGAATGTACCTTTCCGAAGGACCTTGGTGCGCTGAATTCAAATCCGATATCCATATTTCTCAATTGGCTCTGGTTTTTGAGATATCCTAACCTAAAAGTGCCAAAATCGCGATTTTTTGACATACGCGTATTTGAGGTTATGGATAGGTCCATGTATAAGTAGGTACATTTTTTTGCTAAAACCATTAATGGGTCTCAAAGTATCATACTTACTGGTTAAAACACTTGGATTTATCCTGAAAACTACACTTAGTAATAAATATTCTTCATCTTAACTAAAACTTAATTAATCTCGATTCGCTAATCACTATAAAAGTAGATAAAAAAACATTGTAATAGGCTAGTTGACACCACCAAGCGCTGATATACTTTTTATGAGCTGTCAAAACGCAATTTTTACAAAGATTATTGAAACATAATGCAAATTGAGAGCGTCAACATAGTAGTCGGAAGGTGGTAAAGTCACTTTAAATTTTTTTTCGACATGTTACACCTCTTGGATTTTAATGACACTTGGCATGCTGTTAGGCAAGACATAGACAATTATTACATATTTTTTTGAAAGTGGTACTTCAATTAGATCTGATAGAAATATATTTACAAAATTTTTATTTGCCCTTTTTAATACTTATATTTAGGGATGGCCCATAGGAACTGCAATAAAATAAACTGTAAAGTGTACCATAAACACTGTTATATAGATTTATTTTCTTAGCTTGTATAATATATAATATATAAATACTTTGCTTAAAATTAGTCAAAGAATTCATATAGGGTACCCCGGATACCTTGGCGGTTACCCTGTATTTATAAGTAGGTCCTACGAATATTAGCTACCTACCATTTCTCCTCATACGTATAATCCGTAATTGTTGCACTTAAACTGGTAGAATATAAATTGTTACCATTAATATTGCGACCTATTAAACGTTATCAGATAGAATTTCCCGGTCACTAGCATCATCGCGTTTCCGTAACTCGACGTCTTTGTGCGTGCGCTAATTCCGCCAATAAAATATTGAAATTACGACTTAAAGCGCACCTTGCTCGTCGAATTAATAAACTTAATGATTTTAATTATTTAATTTAATACAGTAGTAGTTCCGCTACACCTGTAGGCACCCCGGTAATAATTATGAGATAAAGCTGGATGAATGGCTGCTGTTTCAGTTCAGGTAGCAGAGCTGGAGAGATTTTTTTGAAAAGGTGTTTTATTCCACTTGTTTGGCAGAAATTTAATGAACGTCTCATCTCACATAACAGTGAAGTGACTTGACCACCAAAATCAACGTTTATCAACGAAATTCAGCCACAAGTATGCGAAAACCGATGATACAGAATTTTCTTAAAAGAAGTCACGTCTGTCTGATATCTTCTTCCATATTTAATGGTAATGTCTACCCTTTAAAAACATGTAAAAACTTTGTCAGTTTTTTAATTAATATTTTTTTCCTGCGTTTCTTTTGGGATATCATTTATGTGCAAATTTTATAAACAGTGTTAATCTCAAAAGGTCATTCAATTAAGAAGCTATAGTAATACAGAGTTTAGATACTGAAAATTGGTTTTTGAATCTTCAAATTCATTCAAAAACCGTTTTTGAAGTACATCTGTTGTTATAGGTGTTCATTTCTAATAGGTATCTTTTCTCAAATCAATTTACTGTTCAAAGAACATAGCCTATATCCATTATTTACAATATCAGCATCAAGACAACACAAGATATGAACAAAACTAGGTACATATGTATTAATTTCACTGAAAAAAACAATACGTATTGAACCATTTTTGTATCTGTGTAATATTTTTTATTTGCCTTCGCGATTCTAGTGAATGTGTCCAAAACCTTACTAGAGTCGACGAACTCATAATTCGTACTTTATCAAGAAAAAAAAAACGTTAAAATCCCTTCTGAAATAATTGTATAATTCATTGCGACAGGTGCTGCAGAACCACAACTTGCTCGGGGTGATGTTAACGTTAGAGCAAGCCACGAACTTTCGTCGTATTTACATATTTATTTTTTCACCCTACACCCCATTCGTTTCAACCTTATCACACCTTAAATCAAAATAACGTTGTATCCGAAATTAGGAAATGGTCTCAAAGTTACTGAAAATTTTTTAAATTTTATAAATAACTCGAATACAATATTTTCGATTATTTTTGGGGTGTGAACTTTTGCTTTCGGTCTACACATTTTGGTGTTAGAGAGAGTTTTTTAACTCCTACTATACCTATACCTATACAACTCCTACAAAATTGATGTGTGGTGATAATATCCGTTCATAACTTTTTCCTCTTTAAGACAATAATGACAACTGTTTTTAATTTGATAGGTGATACAATTGGGAAGTTTTTAGGACTCTTGTAGAATTTTCAATAAATGAACGGTTTGGGTATAAAAAAATATTTTTTAAATGTACACCTTAGACTTCCTGCGTTCCCCAGGGTTCAATACTCGGTTTGCTTCTATTCATAAATTTTATTAATGACATTGTTAATGACCTAAATGTTCGCGACCTTCTGTACGCTGATGATATGAAGTTATATTGCAGAATTGACGGTTTGTGCGACTGCGAAAATTTGCAACGAAGTCTTTTGACATTTATTAATTGGTGTGTTAACAACAAATTGCCATTGAATGCAGCTAAATGTAAGGTGATGTCTTTTGGGCGCTTGATGTATCCACTGCTGTTTACATATAAACTTGATGGCGATATTCTAGGAAGGCCTAAAGTTATTAAGGATCTGGGCATTATATTTGACCCGTAGCTTATGTTTTAGAGATTTCACGACTCTTCGTCTATTATAGACTGCGTTTGTAAGACCTAAACTTGGATATGGCTCTGTCATATGGAATCCTATTTATGAGTGCCAAATTTCAGCACTTGAAAAGGTTCAGAGGAGACTCTTTAAGTCTGCAGCATTTATTCTAGACGGTTTCTATCCTGTTGGAGGAACACCACAGAATATATTTTACAAACGTTTCGTGTTAAACAGTCTTATCTCCAGACGTAAAATGCATTCCATATTAACGCTTTATAAAATAATTCACCATGTTATTAAATCTGATTATTTACTTGCTCGTTTAAATTTTAGAGGGCTAAGATCGAATAGCCGAATTAATAGCTTAACAAACAAACAAACAAACAAACAAACAAACAAACAAACAAACAATCAAACAAACAAACAAACAAACAAACAAACAAACAAACAAACAAACAAACAAACAAACAAACAAACAAATAAACAAACTAACTAACAAACAAGCAAACAAACAAATAAACAAACAAACAAACAAACAAACAAACAAACAAACAAACAAACAAACTAACAAACTAACAAACAAACAAATAAAGAAGGGAGATTTTTACAGAAATTACGTTATTTCTATTTTTAATTTTTACTGATTTATTTAATTTAAACCTGCTATACCAAGTTTTCCGTTTTAATAATTATTTTAATAAAATGTTTAATAAATCATTGTTTATATAATATTTTGTATTATTTATCATTGGGTAGATATAATTCCGAAATTTATATTTCGTTCTACAGAATATGTCATTTATTTCATGCAAAAAGCTATTCTTTCCAAAAATATTACAAATTAATAATGCCTGGATTTTATTTCTTAAAAACACCATGTAGTTTTCCTGCTTCTTAGTAAAATTACAATTCAAACAAAAAGTGTGAAATTGCATAATAACTTTACTTCGATGACGTAATTTTACATCATATACTGTGGCGTCAAAGTAACCAGTGTTGTGGTGTATAATTTTGCATAAAATTTTTCTGAGTGTAACTAAAAAGACTCCGAGTCCGGCCCTGGTATCGGGTGCTGCATCAAATTAGCGGTGGTGCAGCACGCGACCACTAGTGCAGGTCAGTCCCATCCCTAAACCTCTTCGGAAACACTTCCGTGTGGGTCACCAAACCATCAACAGCTCAACCCTTCTTACATCAAGCACGCGCCGAGAAATGACCGGTTCGCCTCTACGCACCCGACGGCGATAAAAACAAACGCCACGCGACCAACACCGACCGCGATGATTAAACTCAGTGCGAATCAGTGAAATCGGGCGGTTTTTCAAAAAAAAAAAAATAAAAATGGACGTGATGAACCGCTATTCCTCGGAACTGCCGGACAACCAGTACCTGCACCAGGCAAGGGGCTTCGACCAGAGCTACTTCGAGTCCTTCGCGAAGGAAGAGGAGACTGTAAAAAATCCGGAGATGTACGACGTCAACACTTACGATAGTTTCATGTCCACTACCAGCGACTTGACCGATTTGAGCTCGTTATCCGAGGCCGAGAAGTACTCGTACGGCAATTTTAACTTCTTCGCGCTGAAGAGAACCCAATTTAACAACAACGAGGATTGTAAAAATACGACCGTTCTCAATCAGGACAGGAAAAACACGAGAGGTATGCTATATGTTACAGGGAGACGCCGACGCAAGCGTTGGTGCAGTGGAATAACAAAAAGTCAAAGCAGTTTAAACTGAAAAATGACCAGTGAGCGCCAAATATAAGAGAAGGCGGTAGTGTGGGATACTCTTTTATCTCCTGCCAGTATTTTTGGAAAGTATATCGAATTTTATCAATCAAATTTCACTTTGTCATCAGTGTGTTTAATAATTGTCTGTTTGGAAACCACAGAAAAAGGATTTTTTCTCTATAGTTTTATATTAATAAAACAATAGAATTTTCTCAACATGAAAAAACAATACAATAGTGGTCTTAAATACAGGGTGTCCCATGGTGACGAGACGTTAGACATATTTCAGAGACTACTTCGATTTTAATTTTGAAAATTTGGGCAATATCGTTTTCGGGCATGCCCTTCTCAACTAAAATAATCGCGTCCACCTAACGCTTCTAGTTATACCGGAAGTTGACGTCATCTTCGTTATTTCAAACCCCTGTATACAGTATACAAATTTGCTTCTCAGTACAGGGATCTCGGAAATCCGTTTTTGTTTCATTTCAGCCTTGTTTGAGGTTATTGAAAAAATAAATAACACTTTCTCATGATGCCCACTTTTTGCCCTGTATCGAATGGCATAATCAATTTTTATGTGTAACGTTTCGTCTCTCCAGGACCATCATCAACTTCATTTTTTTAAATACGACCCTTTGACATTTTATTACATTTTTTGCAAGCCTTCATGACCCCCAATACTATACTGCCTCAGCCTGAACCAGATTCATACGTTTTATCTCGAAAAATCCATTTTCAGTGTATTCGTTCCAATTTTATCTAAATTTTTTATTTAGATTTCTTTGTTTATTGAATTATCGTACGTTGTAAGTGTCGTTAGACCCTGTGAAATCCATTTAGTTATTAAACTATTACCACCACGCATTAAAATAAAACATTATTAGAGTTTTACTCCTGTGTCCATAGTTATTTCTAGGCTTCTCGAGTGCTCAAAATTCAAACAAATCTATTATTTTTTTCAGGATATTCATACAAATACATCTGACATGCTCTTTCGCAGTTGCGGTTACAGATATACTAAATTCTGATAATATTACGCTGATCTTTGCCAAAACGAAAATGTTTTTGAATATTTACTGAAATTTTTTAAATAATAATGTTCATTTGGCGTTTTGGTCGTTCATAATATGCATTTTTAAGAATTTATTTGTCATTTAATTTTGACGCAGCAAATAAAAAATTTAAATAGATTTGGAACGAATACATTGAACAATTTTGAATTTAGAGGCATAATGTGGGTACCCTGATTACGCAACTTTGCCTCCATTTGAGCTACTTCGTAGCTCTTACCGTTTCCGAGATCCCTGTAGTGAGAAGCGAATTTGTAACAGCCTGTATTATTGCAATTTTAGATTATACGTTAATTTTTAGGTGAACTTTCATAAAGGTTTCTTATTCTTAAAGTTAACCGTTATTTATATATTTAATTTTTTTCAAAAAAAAAATTAAAAAAGCACTGCCTAATTCAAAAAGATGTGTATTTTGCAATAATAAAGTTAAAGCCATAAAATTTATAGGGGACATAACTAAAACTCTAAGTTTCCCTGTCAAAATTTCAAAATGACTTAATTTCATACAGGGTGGTAGAAATTTAATGCCGAATTTAGTCAACATTAAACCATCTTAACTTATTTTTTTTTTAATAGAACACCCTGTATATTTTTGCGCAACCGAATAAATAATTTTGTTTTCTTTCGAATGATTATAGTCTCTTCTGGTTTTTAAGGTATTTACTGTTTTTCGTTGTGAGTAATAAAGGTCAAATGATTTATTTTGTTCGTTCATCTAGAGCAGGGGTCGGCAAGTAATTTTAGGTGGGGTCCGGATACTTTTGAAATTTTTTAACGAGGTCCAGAAAAAAATTCATATTTCTTACTAATTTTTTATTTTCATTTGCATTAAAAACTCAAATCAGTCACAATTGTAAAATACTAGAAAAAATGATAAGGGTGGCACTCAAACGTAAAAAAATATTTTTTAAATAATTTATTTGAGTAATTTATATTTTCAAAAAATTTTTGGCGGTCCAGTATTTTACCTTCCGCGGTCCGGATCTGGACCGCGGTCCGCCAGTTGCCGACCCTTGATCTAGAGTGTTGCTCACCAGCCAGATCACTTTATTTTACACAGAAATTTATCATAAAAATTAAATTTTAAGCGAATTACGAAAATTTTGCTATTTATGGCTAATTGTAAAGTATTTTTTTTTCTAATTAACTAGAGAAGATAATGAGCCAATAAATTTACTAAATTAGTCGTTTTTTTTATCCTCAATATACTTATGTGATTTGTTTTATTCAATTAAATCAACTATCGTAAATACAGGCTAATAAAAAAGTATTCAAATTGGGACTTAGGTATTAATGAAAATAAGTGATTAAAATATTAATTTTGGACCTAAATATACAAAAAAATAAGTTTATTTCGTTGAAGTTTAAACTGACTCTATAGCTGACAAAAGAAAGTTATACGAATTCTATTAAATACTTACATAACTCTCACAAATGATAAAAATTAAAATAGAATATTAAGAATTCAAAAAAATATGTATATACCTAGGTGTTTTCTGGTTAGTTTTGTTAAAAGAGAAAGAAGCTCCAATAAGGACAGTTGACACGGACATCATGTCAATATTCTGTATATTTTTACTTATTTTTGAACAACAATAAACACGAGTCAAAATTTTAACAACAAAAATGGACCATATTGCATATCATGACATAGTAGTAAGTAACCCAACATTAGATTATTTTATTATTACAACCAGTGTATTTATTTAGGGCATTTTTCGGGAAATAGCAACACTAATTTCCTTTCAACCCCATTCCAAAACAGTAGAAAGTAAAATAGTAACTGTAATAACTTTGCACTAAATAAAATAAACTATTATCTCTTTTATAGCACGTTATTTCAAATAATAATGGAAGTACCTACATTATTATTAAAATGGCCTATAAAGCTATAATACTTCACCGCTTGCTATATCTGTTTATGGGCATAAAATATTATTCTGTCATATTACTGCTTCTGTTATTAATCAGAAAATTAAATACAACCATTACCACAAATTACTAATATTTATCTATATAGGAACTATATCCATCTAAAGCCATATTTAATAAGGTGTTAAGTCACTTTGTTATTTTAAATTTATTTATTATTTAAAGTTGAACACTTTTGTGAATTTCCGGAATGAATTTTCATATAGTTCTAATCTGTTTTGATTTTGGCTCAAGGTAGAAGAAAAAATGTGGTGCGGGACCGCCCCACTTCCCCCTCCATAATGAAGAAACGAAGATTAGCCGCTAACGCAAGAGAGCGACGGAGGATGAATGGACTGAATGAGGCCTTTGACAGATTGAGAGAAGTCATCCCCAGCTTGGACGCTGAACACAAACTCAGCAAGTTCGAAACGTTGCAGATGGCACAGACGTACATATCGGCTCTCAGGGAATTACTTGAAAAAAGTGACATGAACAGGTAATATTATATGTCACGGCAATACGTTGAAGATACTGTTTGTGTTAAATTCAGTGCGCTCTAGTTCGTTGAATGGTGCCAAGTTTACGAGAAATATAAGTTTGTATTATTTACAAATTTTATTCCATTTCCACCAATACAAAATATATAAAACATCTATTTATACTAAGGAATTTAAAAAGAATGCCTAAAATATTGCCTTGGGCAATTTCAAGTTATATCTAATTGTAGGCAACCCGCCATGACTTGAGTGTAATTTGAACTACTGGACAAATGCGCTACTACTGGGCGTAATCGTACTTATGTCTATGTACTTATTAACCATTCGTTTATTTATTAAATTTTGTGTTCATTTATTTATACATTATGTATTATATTCAGTGTAAAATAAAAATAGACCTTATCGTCATTAAACACGAAAAGGCCAATTATTTATTCTTGACATAATTTTTCTAGTCTATGCCAAATATATAGTAATTTAGTAAGTTATTTTATGTATAAAATTTCGTAGATATAGTAAATAAAAATTGTACATAGTTATTCAGCTGACGATCTCTAAAAATGTACCTACATGATTTCATAGCATTCTTCGAAAATGAAAAAAATGTGTAGTCGATAATTTCGAAAAATTTCAATAAATGTATTGAAATAAAAGTACTTGTATAAAATATATTTTTTCTTTTTGTCTGCTTTTTATTCCTTCTTTTCCAAAATAAATAAATCTTTTAGAAGTTTCACAGATCACTAGCATTTATTATCTAATTTTTTTATTAATTACAATAATAATATAAAGTATTATTCAATCGATTTCTGTGGCTCTTTTTGTGGAAGAAGTGCACCTACATCTTGAAGGAGTTTCTTTTTATCCTCGAAATAATTCTTGTACCACAGGATGTGTTCTTTTTTAGCTTCCACGGTGAGGTAAGGATTTTTCGATAGCCCCACACAGACTAATTCCATAAAATGTCTTATGGGTCCTTTAGCAGGGCACCACGGTTCTAAATGTTCTTCTAAGAATATATGTTCGGTAAAGTACACTTTCTTCTCTTCATCCAATCCTACAGAAAAATGTATCAAGACAAAAACTTAAAATACAGACTTTAACAAAAAATGTATCGCAGTATTGTTATTTCAATTATCGAATATTTCAAAACTTGCCTTGTTCATTGTCTATAGGAAATTTCCAGAGTTTTCCTTGTTCTGTCCACAGTATCATCTGCTGAAAATAATTGGCAGGTGGATGAGTAACCGCTAATTTTAAGTCCCGTTGGTACAAGGATTGCCATGTCTTGTTCTCCGGACTTTCTTTTAATTCTTTGTTGGTAAAAATTCCCAACGGATCACTGCCAAACAAATCGATTTTATGCACTACCCTAAAAAAAAATAATATTAATATAGACTATAATATTAAGGAATGAAAATGCTACGTTTCAGGTCGCTGTCGCTGATGCACAAACTTCCTTTGCCTCCTTTTTTCTTGCGGATCACTTTCTGGCTTCGATTTTATTTTTTTCAACAAATTTCTGACCTGTTCGGCACGAGATTGCTCAGCTGGTTTTGAGTCCCTATCAATTTTCATACCTTTGACAATATCGCTGAAATAAAATTTAATAAAAATTTCGTTAAAAGATTTCATTAAGAAAAAGTTTGTTACATAAAGTAAGTACATATAGCTTTAAAAAAATACCTCAAATTTGTTGAAGAGAGTGTAGAATTTTCAGCAGGACCTAATAATTTTGAAAGCAGATCAGATTCTGTTTGTTTAATATCTCCACCGATGTCCTTGGCTACATTTTTCGCAGCATTTACCATTTGTTTCTCTAAATATTAGAAAAATATACACATAATATAACAAACCCGCCTGAGGAAACTTCATGAATAAAGTATTTAAAAATACAGCTGCTACATTTTCACTATTAAGTAACATTATCTCTTATTAAAGTAGATATTTCGAATTTAGGATCATATAATTTATTCATGTATATTTAGATCTTCTACAACTAAATAAATATTCCCGGTTAACTGACCTATAGTATCCACTTTAACCGATTCCGTCCCAGACTTTTTTTGGGCACGTTTATTTGTAGGTCGTGCTAAATCTAACTTCTTTTCCACCCTCACAACATCTTCCTAAAAGTGTTAATACTTGTATTTATTTCGTGCACAGCTTGATTATTCAATTACATACCTCCACTATTTTTTTCAGTAAGTTTTTTAATTTATTCGTTGCTTCTTCGCGGTTTGCTTTAGATGAAGATATGGCAATTTTCTCAGTTTTAACATCCAATTCGCTGCTACTGTCACTACTGCTAGAACTGCTGTCACTGCTAGTAATATTATTCTTTGTACTCTTCTCACAATAAATATCTTTTATACATACTGGGGGGAACATAAATTTATTCTTTAAACCAGAAGCTGTCCTATAAAATAAATAAAATACAGTTCATACTACAACTTCGTATTATTAATTTTACCTCGAAAATATATATAATCTATTCATTACGCTTTTATTTATTTTTAAAATCCTAGAAAAATTTAAAATTATTGTTTTAACCTAAAACTCAAAATCAGAGCAATGCAGAACCACTGAACCACAGCCCACAGAACAAAAAAAATGGTATACGTTTTCTTATTAGATGGAAACAAAACAAAAACAAAACTTAGGTTAGAGGAGTTTTGTTTTCATGTTCATGTTTTTGATACATATCAGTAATCATCCAGTTTATGATTGTTGTTAAAATTTATTAACTATTTAAGACAAAAACATTAAGAGAAAATGGATGAGGAAGAAGATGTAAAAAAAATGATAGAATTTATAAAATTAAGTCAAGAGGTGAAAAAATATATTTCAATTATAATACATTTTAACATTTTGTTCTTTTAGAATACTACTCAAGATTTTCAGTATGATGACTTTATTAATTACGAAAATAATAGTGATGTGGAAGAGGTAAATCCATATAAATGTAATACTTATAAAAAAAATATGTATAATTATTTTGAATTTACAGAATGAAGAAACAATATACTTCGACAATAATTACGACTTGTGCAATTTTACTAGTACGGACGTTTCCAAACTAAATTCTTATGATCCAAGATCGACCCTAAAGCCAGAAGAACTACTTGTGATCGACTCCTGTTCAGACCCAGAATTAAAAAAACTTCTACTCTTAAACCGAACAAAAAATTTCCAATTAATGCATCTATATAAAAAATTAAAAGATTTACTGATACAGTGTCAGAAAGATATTACAGAAAAGAGGGAAGTTATTAACAATTTTTTGAAAGCGAACAAAGAACAGGGACATTCCACTGGAGCATGGCGTTTAGCGGCACCATACTTTAAGGATAAGAAACTTTATGCTTGTCCTCCTAACGCAGATACACTTAGAAAACAAAAAAATAAAGAATTGAATGTATACGATATCACAGTCGTTCTGAAATGGACAAGCCTAGAATGTGAAAAATTATTAAGAGCAGTGAAACTCAATTATAACATTAATCAGCAAAATGATGTCGTGAAGAAAATAGCGACTTTACGACAAAGTAAAGATGAGGGTGAACCGGAAGGAATAGAGAAGTTGAAAGAACTAGAGAGTAGGCTGGAAGAGCTACGAAATGAAGACAATTCAGAAATTCCTCCTTTAAATTCTGATCAATATATTGACTGGTTGAGAGTTGCGGAAGTATTTCTACAAGGTAAAAATTTTTGTATAAATTCAGTTGACATTTACTTTTTTTATTTGGTTTTAGATCGAAAGACGCCTTTTGAGTGTAAATCATTTTGGCACATTTATTTACATCCACACATCAACAAATCCCCGTGGACACCCGAAGAAAATACAAAATTAAAACAACTGGCTAAAAAGTATAAACGTCAAAACTGGGACAAAATTGCTAAAGTGCTAGGCAACAACCGCACTGGTTTTACGACTTGCATGAATTATTTCAGCAATCTACACAAAAGGTTCAAAAAGGGAGACTTCACTACCGAAGAAGATTCCCGGCTGGTGCAGTTAGTTCACCGACACAGAATGGGCAATTACATTCCATGGGTCAAAATCGTCCAACACTTTAAAAAGAGGACGAGGGCGCAGCTACACCACCGGTACACCTATTACCTAACTCAGAACGATAAAAAGAAAGGCAAGTTCACTGACGCCGAGGATATATTGTTGATGATTCTGGTCGATAGATTTGGAAAGAATTTTAAGAAATGTTCGGAGTACTTACCCACGAGATCGATGGTACAAATTAAGGCACGTTATAACTCTAACTTGCAGCAGAAGCTGAAGAAGGGTTCTTTCACTAAAAAAGACGACGAAATAATTATGAAATATGCAGAAGAGAACGGTCAGAAGTCTTGGTCGGAGTTAACAAAGATATTGCAAAGATGTAGGGGCCAAATTAGACAAAGGTATAATACCATAAAGGCTTATTTGAATAAGAACCCTAATTCAACATTGGATGCGGTGCCAAGGAGGAAGCACCATCTGGCGGAAGTGGGGGATTCTTTTAATTTTTTAAGGTATTGTACAACTTTTAAATAGCATGGCAGATATTGTAAGGAAAAACGAGGTTGATAAAAATCGTGATTTATTTAATAATTCTAAATATTTACTTATTCAACATATTTATAAATTAAAAAACATATTAAAAACAGTTTTACAAATTCTTCAAACAAGAAAATTTACCAGTATGTCTAATAACGGATTACATCGATACTCAAATTGTTTGATTTTTTATTCCGTTTTATTTTCTGATGTTATCAGAGCTAAAGCAAAAAGAACAACACTTCTTCGAGGCAACTTCTGTGCTTTGCATAGTTCTTACCAGCCCTTTATTTAAAAGAAGGAGTAGAAATTTTTTTAGGGCCAAAAGAAAGTTTGAGGTTTTGAACTATTTCTGAAATCATATAATACTGTTTTTATTTAATTTACTACAGAATTTTTACTAAAAATTATTATTAAATCCTTTTTTCAGACTTTTGTTGATCTTAGAATATTTTTTAAATGAAGAGCTGTGCTTTTTTGTAGTCTATATATGCCGAAAACTGAAATTTCAAATTCTCACAAATTTCTCCGTACTTAAGCGAGATACAGAAAAATGGTTTAGACAAAAGTTGTTTGGGACAATAGGGATCACCTATTGAAATGAAATGATATTTTCAATTTTGTTTTTGTGACCTCGAGAAGGTCAGGGACCTTGAGGTCATTTTCAAGGTCATTTAAATATCAATGGCTTGTGGATTTTTTAATTGAAAACTTTATTTTTGACACCGGATTAAAAAAAAGTAAAAAATTTAAAGTCAGAATTGATATTTTAATTGTTGTTGTTGTTCTGACCTTGAGAAGGTCAAATGTTGGAAATTTGCTTGCTAACTGTTGTGAAGGTACATTTAAAAGATAGAACAAACTCAAATTTGATAAAGACCGTGACCTTCAGGTCAATTATTAAGGTCATTTAAAAGTCAAATTTGACCTTGAATTGACCTTAAGATCAAGAAAACAAAGTTGAAAATATAATTTCGGACGTAAAAGTTCCTGCTCTTTTGGAATCCGATGTCAAAAATCCGTGTTCCTATTAAAAAAAAAACACTGACCTACAAATGACCTCAATGAAAATGAATCTCAAGGTCATAGCTAGTTGCACAGATAGGTGACCCGAACAACCTTTGTCTGAACCATTTTTCTGTATCTCGCTTATAGGTACGGAGAAATTTGGATGCATAGATTACAATTTTTTTTTTTTAACCGCTGTGTATCTCATCGTCCCCAATATACCCACAATAGTATTTATTATCTTGGCTATGATGTATAAGAATTCTAAATTCTTCATTTTGTTGATTGTAATCAAATTTCTTTAGAATGGTAGCGGATCAGTTTGCGGAGTCCCCGAACATTCCAACCCTGTCTGCAATAGAAAAGATCCTGAGAAACCACCACCAAGAAAATCCTGACAATGCACCACACACAACGGGAAACTTAAACGTATTTACTAACCCTGTTAGCATCGACGACATGCTAACCAACTTCTTTTGTAATTCATTCAAAGTGAACCTAACAAAGTGTATATCATCGGCGTACGTGAATAAAGCCGCTAAAGACGTACAGGCAGTATTGGGTACGTTAAATGCCAACATAGACATACCACAAAATTTCGACGAAGACTTAAGATTAGACAACTTGGATGTAGCGATTTTAAATATCTTAGCAGATAACGCAGGTAGTAAAAAATCCGTTAAAAAAGATATATGGGAATTGTTACCACCGAATCTCAACAGTTTAGTAGGCCTGAGGAGTCTTCTAATAAAGTACTACACGAACAAGTCGACCGACGAAGACACGGACGATGTTGTTAACGAAGAAAGAAATCGATACTTCGACATCAACACCAGATGTGACATCATGACACACTTACTCACGTTGTCTAACGAGACCAGAACAAAAGTCGAAAATGAACGCAGGCTGTTCTACAAACGTTTCCACGCACTATTCAAATGGCCGGCCACAATGACGCTTGTGAATCCATCTCCGAACTTGCAGGGTATGAGTACCAGCAACTCGATTTCGACTCAGTTTCAAGTTAAAAGAACTTACAGTAAAGTGAATAGAACTATGGTTACGGAAGGTCCGAGCAAGCAAATAAAAATTTCGGAGATGCCTAGTTCTTCCACCAAAGCCATTCCTCTGAAATTGACGCCTGTGACGAATAAGAGCGTACTGGCCGATTTGATTCAAAATAAAAATAAGAAGCTGTTTTCCATGCAAGCCGTCAAGTGTGGTGGTGCAACTAAAATGGTTATAAAGGAAGTGAACATCCGTCCTACCAACGATAAGGAGTTGAAGGGAAGGAACAGTGATGTGAATCATACACAGACTAGAAGTAGCGTAAATGACAAACTAATTGATTCCGCTGCGACTATGAATGGACCAAGCAGTAAGAGACGGAAATTGTCTGAATTTGTATCAGAACATGAGGAATGCATTATGTTAACTTCGGACGAAGAAGAAGAAGAGGAAGATTACGTGAGTTCTAGTGATGAATCGAACGGTACTGTTAAGGATGATTTACAGGACCTTAACAGATTGGAGGCTTTTCTGAAAGAACATCAGAGCAAAGATATGCCCAAAAATGGTAAGGTTTTTTCATTTGTTTTGTTTTTAATTTACAAATTTTAAAAAAATATTTAAAAGACTGACGAGTTCTAGACAGTACACGGTATTTTCAAACTAGTAATTTTTCTGTTGATTACAAAAATGGAACCAAAAAACAGATGACACGTCATTTATGGCGACAACAATTCACCTCTTTTTATGCAGTACGTAGGTTGGGTACGATTCCAGGGGTTCTCAATAAGTTTTAACAAATTTGATTGTACTTAATTTTAAACGATTGTGGTTATAAAATGCTTATTTTTAATGCATTCCACTTACGAATACAAGATTGCAAAAACCCCATATAAACTTGCAATTTGTTTGGTTGTGAACAAAGAAAAGCTTTCCAACTTAAAGTGTTTAAAGAACGAAACTAATTTTTATTAGTTTGGTTTTCCTTGTTTTATAAAACCAATTTAGGTTGGAGACTTTTTATTGTGCACTGTTGTACTGGGTGTTTAAATAAGAAAGGACATTGCCCAAATCTTAGAAATGGTTTGTCGTAGAGTGTTGAGAAAAAATAACTGGTAATAAAAGTCACCAAGAGAAGTCTCTGTAAATTATTTTTAGATTCTTCAACTCGCCGCAAAATATCAAAGTGGGAAAGTCTTGCATTTTCTTGAAAACTTTTAATGGAATTCAAGAAAACGAGCCTCCTAATGGTGATGATACAGGCCAAAATGGTGTCAAATAATAAAAATTAGATTTGGTAAAACATTAATTTCCTTTTTTAATTAATGGTATTGTGTGAAACAACTACTCTGCGAGCTACACATCTCGTCCAGCATTGAATTAATTGTTTCACAAAATATCATTAGTTTAAAAGTATATTTTGCCTAACGCGAACCAAGTCATGTTTTCATAGTTCCTATAGGTTAGTAGGTCGCTCTTTGTCAGTACCTCAAAGCATCGAACCGATCCTGACGTATGGCCCATGTCAGTGGCAGCTCGTGACATTGAGAATAGGTGATGCACATTCATTGAATGACTAAAAAGAAAAAAAATGTGCAAAAATGCAAATTTTCAAGATCAAATGGATTTAAATGAATCTGAAAATTTTTAGTTGCATTTGCAATAGTACCGAAAAACTGACGTTCACGAGAAGGATTTTCATTTAGATTTTATAAAAAATAGAAACTCAGTTATACACGTCCCACAGTGGGAAATATTGGAAAAAATTCGAGCCACGTGTTGAAACTAATCAAATAGTACTGATTTTTTTTTATTCTTTCCAAAATTATCTGTACTATAAAGTTCCGAACAAAAAAAATCATAAACATTATTAAACATATTCCTAAATCATGATTCTAGACCCAAAACATAACCTCAAATTTATAAATCTTAACCTATAACGAACATACTCAATTTTTTCTAAACCTGTGAGTATAAATCCAAAAAAATGGTACTTTTGAGTGTGCAACCAATATTTTTGCATAACTTTAACACAAATTCATAGGAAGCTGACCAGGAAACCTGAAAAGCTAACCTCAAATCCAAAATAATTAAGTTAAAAATCGTCCATGATCTTGTTTGAGGCTGAGATTACTAGGCCATTTTGAAAAAATTGCTTCAATTTCCACGTCACTCGTTCCCCCACGCCGTAGTTTACTCACCTGTTGGCTGCCTCACCAACCGCCGTAAACAACGCTACGAAGTGAAGCGGAATACAGGCTGATTTCGATCCGCATCACTTGCTTCTGCTATACGTTGTATAGTACGAGGTTTATGTTCATGTTCAACGAAGGCAATATTTTTTTAGAAGATGGTCACCGTGCAACTATTCTGTTTATTTCTGCGTATTAAACAAACAAACAATACATTTTCAATATAGAATTATACCGAAATTATAAAATTTATATAAAATTAAAAATGATTTTGAATTGCACAACCAAACGGAAATTTTAGGTGAAGCGGTACGTCACCTGGCGAGGCGCCACTGGCCGATGTCCTATCTTATTCAGACATCTTGTACACTGTTAATTTTTTTATATTTAATGTTAACACTCGTTTAATCGGAGGAATGTTTCATAGAAATAAATTGAACTATTCAATTGCAGATGACGATCTAGAAGATTTAAGGAAACTTGAAAATTTTTTAAAGGAGCAAGAAGAAGAGGGTTGAGATCTTATTCAACCATAAGAGATTATTAAATAGTTCATTTAGTTTATTTATAGTTGGTCAGTGACTGATTTTATTTTATTATTATTGAAATTATGAAATGCAGAATTTAATTATAACGTGTAAATAATTGAATTAGTTGTATAGGTATAACGCAAAAGTTTTTAATTAAATCAGAAGCTATGGAAGTGTTTTTTCTTGTATTCACCCCCTCAAGCTTGGAAAGTCAATCTGTTCCTTTTTGTAGATAGCGTAGACACTTATTTACCTCACTTAAAAATTAGAAAAACTAGGTCGATATCATAATTTCAAGTTGGCTCCCATTTTTCAAATTGTCAAAAATGTCAAGTGTCTGCTCACACACATGCATCCAAATTCCGTATTATACGTTGCCCTAACATCCGTTTTACTAAAATGGATACCTGTAGGACACGCTGTTCTGCATGGCGAAAAAATCCTAGCGCCAGAGAAAGGATAAAAGACCAGCATGAGGACAGAACGGCCAATCTCCAAGCCAAAGACGAAGAGCTTAGGCAAAAAATCACACAGATGCAGTCTCTGCTGTCTAATCCCATGTCCCAGTCTTGTTGTTGTGCTGCTCAAGTCCCCAAAGTGTTCCCAAGCAAATTGGATAGTCCAGTTCGTGACATACCAAAGTTTCGTGACGACTCACCCGGGAAATCCGTCACTATCCACCCGTCTGCCGAACATTTTCCCTCTCGCGAAGAAAAGTCGCAACATACAGCTTCAAGAAAGGTAACACCGGTTCGGTCCGTACCTCGCTCGCCTACTCGATCTCAGTCGCCGAAAAAGCAGACGGGCCCTCCTCCTACATTTTTTCAAAAAGTCATGGAGAATGCCAAGTCCATTTTGACCCTCAAGTGCAGTGCGGTACATCCTTCACTGGACGAAAGACCGACCAGGGAAAATGACGTAGTGGCATATGCCGCTACTAACAATTTGAAGCAAAAAAAGTCAAATTGGTAAGAATCGCTACTTCGGAATTCATTTATTTATTTAGAAATACTATATCCGATGGGATAACGTCGCAATTGCAGGAGATGGTGAAATAAAAAGCAAAATCTAAATTAAGAAAATAAAAATCAAATCAAAATGTAAAAAGGAGAAATATAAAACAATAACAAACGGATAAAATAAATAAAGTGAGTAACATATAAACTAATGCAAAAAATTAAAGGGTCAAAAGAATTTCTGAAATTTTTCCAGAGCCCACTTGGAAAAATTTTTTTCAGATAAGACATTGCATGGACCAGATAGCTTGTTTATTCAGCTTCAATTTCCTTTTTTTTAAATTTATATCGGTCAATATTAGTTGATCGTTCGGTGGCCAAGATGTTAGAGGCATCAACACTTTGAATCGATGAATGCCACTGTCGCGGGTTCGATCCCTGCGGTCGTAAGACCGTAGATCAACTATATTCATGGAGAGGAATTAGGCACCCTCTCTCCGGGTATGGTAGGGTGGAAGAACGTTGGCTTGACTCAATGTGGGAGATTGATACTGGTCAGGATTTGGGCATCCCCCTAATTAATTAGGTTTTCCAGGTTTCCATTATTTCTGCAATGAATAATAATATGCTGTCCCCTCTCCCGTACACGTCTCCCAGTTCTGGGCTAATAGATTTCATTGTAATACAGAAATCTAGAATTAAGTCTAGAAGCATGATAAAAATCTTTGAAACCAATGAATCTGCATTTAATGCAGTATTTTTTGTAGTCTTTTGTCTAAATAAGTGTAAATTTGCATAATGACAAAGCACCAAGCGAAAAGAGTACATTTCTAAATCTCATATCAATCTCATTTCCCCAAAATATTGCAGCAGTCTTCTTTTCACCTTCAACAAAGGCTACGGAAATTGAAACAAAAAAGTAGGATCAGAATAAAATATATAATTAATGAAATGTATATTATTATTTAGCTTCCCCATTGCAGTTTCTCCAACTGATTATTGTAAAATTTTATCAATCGATGATCATTCTAGTTCTTGCGAATACGACGAAGAAGTCACGAGAATCGATTGCACCGAAAGCAGCTACTCGCAGGACGTGAGCACCAGTCTTTGTTGCAAAGCTTGCTCCCGCGACAGTATCAGTTCAATCAAGTCCAAAAAAACCGCTTCCGCTGTAGTGAATACCTACAACAGTTACTGCAACACCAGCACTAGTACGGACATCAGAGCTGTGGTGGAAGACGGGTCACAGTGCGCTCCGTCAGAGACTAGTGGGATCACCCAAACTGTTTATGGGGATGGTATGGTATGTCCACCAAAATTCCTATGTCACTCGGGAACGTATTTTTAATTTTCCACAAGGTCTTATCGCCCGCTCAGTTTTGATCCAAAGTATTTTACCATTTATCGAAACATAATGAAGTAGAATAGGGCTACCAAAAATACTTTAAAAATGAATTTCCAAATTTTTTTATCCATTTTTTGCTTATGAGAGGTCAGAGAATACCAACATAGTATCCTAGGATTAACTTATTAATGGGAATTATAGTAATATTAATTGTTTTTCATGGTTCTATCACGATTCCATAGATATGTCCTACAGTGAAAGTTATGAAATGTCAAGGCAGTGGTGGAGACGCACCCAAAAAGCAGAGTTGTAGTAACAAAACCTGTGCGTCTTACCTCTCTCTGCAGAGACGAGTCTCTACACCGAATGTCACATTTAAAGAGAGTGAAGTTGAAAAGAAGCAAAGGTCCAAATCGCAAATTAAGGAAGTGGATATCCAGTGTGCGTTTATTGGATCCCCGATGCTTAATACAGCAGAAGTAGCACCGCCTTCTAAAGTAATAGGTACGTACAGTATTGCATAACGATAACAAACCCCATTGATTTAGAAATTAAAAAAATATCGATTGATCAAATTTTGATCATTGAAAAGCACCGTTGACTGTGAAAATACCGTTAAAAATCTTATTTCGACAGTCCCCCACGTCAGCCAAGACGGTGACAAACCCTGTCCGTGCTCTAACCGCTACCCTTCAAAAGATCCATCGCAAAAACAGATCCTAACCACAGTCGGCGATACGACTCCAAGAGAACAGGAAATCAAGAGCCGAATCGAAACCCATCAGAGTCAGGAAAAAACCTGTAGCGCCTTCACCAACAGCTACCAGAACATAATTAGTAGCGCCCCATCCTGCTGCTGTGCCCAACCAAAGAGTCAATTCGATAAGTTTGACAAGATCAGTCAGGAACTGAGGTTGGAGAACAAAGTCCTAAAGGACGAACTGATGCAGATGAAACTAGAAATGAAGCACTGCTTAGAGAAAATCGAAGGGCCTATAAAGTGTCAGCTGGAAACGGAAAAAATGAGGTGCGTCCAGCTAGAGCAAGAATTGAACTTTGCCTCTCAAAATATGGTAATGAATCAGGATGCGCACATGAGAGAGATGAATTCCCTGAAGCTTCAGTTGTGCATGGCGTGCTCAAACATCAGCGAGCTGAATTCGATGAACAGGCGGCTGAAGGGAGAAATGGCTTCCCTCGACAGCATGTGCTCGAAGCTCGAAGATGATCTGATGAAACAGAAGATCAACGAAGCAGAGACTATAAAGCTCTTGACCAAGAGGCGAGCCGAGGCTTACGAAGGTAAAAAATCTCCCAACTCTCCAATTATAAAACTGGAAGAAACCCTCGTACGTATTTTCTAAAATATTTACTTACGCTCAGGTGTATGCACTTGCTCAAGAACCGGAGTCCAGGAAAAATTCTCTTGCGATTGCAATCTGCATGTCATCGCTAGGAAGCTGAGCAAGACCTTGAAGGACAGCGAACCGTGTGAGATGTGCGCCAAGTTGCCCTCCGAACTGACGGGTGCGGCCAAGTGCATCAAAGACCTGTCGGACCTGGTCGAGAGCCACAAGGTCATACGGAGGGATTCCGAAGAGACCCCAAAAAAAACCTCCCGCGACGTCATCACGAAGGTGGCGACGTCACAAGCTCCACCTGAGACAATGGACGAGGAAAGCCAGTGCATGGAGGGACAACGTGGAGGTAGAGTTGTCATTTTTTCAGATGTACGAGCTGTTACTACCATTGTTCCAAAGAAAAACTATATTATGTTGGCTTCAGTTCAAACAAAATAATTTATTGTACATCAAATCCATTCCAAAATTTACTCCCACACAACGTACTCCTTATAAGAGAATTTCTAGTCAAAGAAAACAAGAAGAGTTACATATTTTAGGCAGTAGTAGTTGTATAGCCGAAAAACAAAACATTTTAGATAAGAAGTACCTAAATTATATAAAACCGCGTTAAAATTAGACAAAGAATTAAAAAGTTCAATAGTATGTCTTGAATTGAGTAAAGTCAAACCAAACTAAACGTGTTGTATAACCAATAACGATTTTGACATATGTACATGGACATTTAAGCAAATTTTAACTGACATTTTTTTCTAAAATGAACAATACAACAGTTATAAAACAATTTTTGGATATCCACAATGAAAAAAAAAACATTCTATAAAATAATCTCACCATTTTTCTGTAGACGAAGTCAGAACTACAACAATAGTTGCGCCAATACGAATAGAAGAACATTTGAGTAGCGAGATCTTGCTGAAAATCAGTTCCGTAGAACCAGCCCCATCAGATTTTAAGGCAAAACCACCAGCCACATCTTCTTATTTCAGCGCGGCAGGGGAGCCCTTGGGGGTATGCTCTGATGTTTGCGGCAAGCCTTGCTCGCCAACGTGCGACACTGAGAAACCCTGCTTGAAACAGGGCAAACCCTGCCGTGGCCAAGAGCCGAAAGAAGAACCCGAGAAAATTATTGTCGAAGGCGAAGTTACTGAGAAGTCTTTTATTGAAAAAGAAAAATCTAAGGAAATAAAGAAACCAAAACCATCACCACCGTCATCACCGCCACCATCACCGCCACCATCACCGCCACCATCCCCACCACCATCATCACGACCTTCACCACCACCGACGGCCATACAATATCTGACGACTTGGGAACCACCTCCGTGTACGGAATCATGTGGAAGTGACCAGCCGTGCGCCAAAGGGCAACCCTGCTATATAATAAAAGGGCGGGGTGATGAGCCCGAAGTACAGTTCAGACAACCAGAAATGGTTGTGGAGCCAAAATCACCGAGAGTCAGGAGTGTGATTGAACCGATATATTCCGAGAT